TTTCTAGCGGGGACCAATCAGAGGGCTGCTGAATAATTTGAATAATTTATCAAGGCCCACGGACGCGGTTCTTTCACTTGTAAAGTAGCCAATTACCACCGAGCCGGTGGCACACGATGGGCGAAAACATGGGCCGTGTCTATACGGAATCACCCAAGGCGGTTTACATGTGGTTTACCCCGAAGCCGGTTTCAAGTGGCTCCATGTGAACTCCCCGAAATCACATTGAAAGCGCCTCGATCCCAAGCCACTTCTAGAGGTGGTTTCGAATCGGTTTCCCCGCATCGCGATTTGCGTCTGAACGCAATGTGATTTCAATGTGACTTCGCCTGGTCATGGATTACGGGGTGATATTTCTTTATTTATATGCAATACCAACTTTTACGTGGCAGCAACTTAAAGAGCAGTAATGGTCAAATAATGAGTCCGTTCTAGGGCGAGCTTCACCGCCTCTGGCGGGACCACGTCGGCATTCGGCCGAGATACGCTGGGAGGGGGGGCATCAGCAAGCAGGTCGTTGACCTCTGACATTAATAACACGCCGCCTTGCGTGTTATCATCAAACAGCAATAAATGTAGCTCAAGCGCATTATGTTCGGACACGGTTTCACAGGTGTGTGTGGCACGTGGACCAGATGTGAGGAATGTGAGTTACCCGAATCGCGGTTTGGGTGATTCCGTATAGACACGGCCATGTATTTCACACCCATTGTACGTCGACATAAAGCGCTTATACATTACAAACAGAATTTTCGTAGGACTGCCATTACTTTAGTTTGCAGCATGTGTATTGAGAACGAGTATCTTCATAATTCTGCTGGCTATTTGTAGAAGAACGGCACAAAAAACAGTTTTCAATACCAACACGACTTAGCAGATAACACGTAATGAAGACCACTTTTTACGCAGATTGTAGCACTGCGTAATGTTACACAAACTAACAGTAGATGTTTTAAGGAATTCACAGAAATGACAATGATAGATAATGTAACGCATATACATTATACAGCACAAAATAAAGAGTAAAAGTAATGTAGTCGTCTTTGGCCGGGTATGGCAAGTTATAGTACGTACATGTATCGGTTCAATATAATCTTTAACGGGTAAGTTGACAGCAACAAGCAAGATGCATAGGTTCTTTTACTTTTGTAGCTCACTTGCGTCTAGATTTAGGGCGAACCCATGTTACTTTTTCGCCGCAGTTTTTCATGTAGTGGTTACTTCGACAGCCTTTCCGCTGACGCAAACATACTAGTTTGAGGTTCCACAGTTCTTACAACGTTAGCGCTTGAAGTGGTGTTTTCCAAGTTTGTTTGTCTGGTGATGTTGTCTTTGTTGGCTTGTTGTCTGTCATTTCCCTCCATTTTTATGTTTGGCGGCCCGTCTTTGATGGGTTGGGTTTGCTTCACAAATCTCGGCTTCGCTAAGATCCGTTCCTTCCCGTACGTAGTGGTCGCTCCATTAGCGCTAGTGCAGCCACATTTGAATGTGTAAAACTTAATGTCTACAGTCCCGTTTTGATTCGTTCATCAAAGTAGATTTTACTAAGGTATGACTTTACTAACTGATTGTGGAAGTACTAGTACCATGGAGGTAGAAAAAAGCTAGCAGAGAGGCACACAGCTTGCGTAGAATATGGCCACAAATAGTCCACTTTGCCGGAAAAATCGCTACTTTGCCAGTTACGAAAGTTTGGAAAATGGAACATAAACATCGTCAACTATCCAGAATAAATATCGGCATATCTAGAAAAAATCACACAAATTCATACTAGACGATTGTATTTGTTGAAATGTTCCAGTTCTAAAATGTTCGATTCGAGCTTTACAAAACACAAAAAACGCAGTAACTCGCCCATTTTTCGTCGCACAACAAACATAAACATATCTGCGTATCCGCCATTTCCCTCCGCTCCCGATGCTGACTTCTGCGCAACAATACGACGCAACCCAAATAAGGAAATGCTCGGAAACTCGGGTATGTCGGTCCCTGCTCGGAGTGGACTCGGCTACCGTCGCTGGCAGTGATGTCATTTTCGGCTCATTTGCATAGCCATATATGGAATTCTGGCGGGAGAGACCGCGGCGAACATAGGCATCAAACGAAGTACCGCCGGGCCGGCGGACAATAGAAAACAGCGGGATCTAGCGCCGCAAAACAAAAGGCCGCGGCGGGTGCTAAATACGTCCTCCTTCCAGGAGTCCTTTCCTTTTTTCTACCTCCATGATCATACCATCCCAGCCGCTAGCCGTGGCTGGCGTGGCGAGCTGCCGTGACGTAACACGCCCAGGATCACGTGAGGGATGATTAGCTGGCAAAGCTGGCAATATTGCCTGATGGGAAGGGTCAGAGTGAGAGTGCGTAGTACTAATCCGCGAAAATTCGAAGCGTTGTCGTGCCCTGTTTTTCTTCTCTGATGTCTAGATATTTAGCGCCTTTGTAAACAACTACAGCTACAGCTAAAACACTGTGGAGGTTAATGCTGCCTGATTCGCATCTACTGTTGCCGGAAAGAATCGCAAATCATCAAAAACAGGTAATTTATACTGTTGTGAAGATGTGTGTGGCATATTTTTTGGGGTGGGGAGGGGGGTGTAGTTAGGGTGACGCCGTCACGTAATATATTTCTGTACCACATATATTTCACAGTACTGAAAGCCCTTATAGGCATCACGCCTAGTGGGTGTAGGTGCACGTCCAAGTCTGGCAAATGTCTGGACTGTGTTGGTGAAAGTGTTCCGAGGGTAAATCTTATAAAACCAACAAAATTGTTGGATGTGAGATCATGAATAATTTCATAGGTGGGGAAGCCTTTAAATTTGTGCACTGTCAATTTTCAAGTGTTTTTTTTTTTACACTGTATTCCAGGCATGCCACCAAAGTATCCGGGGAAGAAAAAGAGACTTTTTGGTCGAAAGGTTGCCAAAAGAAAGAACTACAGTTTTCACCAATGCCTGTGCACCTGGTCGCAAAAAGTCTGTAATTTTGCTAGACCCAGATGAGCCCATGGATGAGAGTACTGGCGGATCCGGAGCCAACGCTCATACGCTGCTCGCAAACGAGATGAAGCTGTCGGTGGGGAGGGGTACGGGTCTACAACCGTGGCTTTTTGCTGTTTGGGGTAGGTTCAAGTTTGTAATTTCTTTCTTCTTGTTGTGTATCGGAGTTCTGGTGGTCCAACGTCAATTTATTTTTTTTAGACCGGAGCCTGTATCAAATATAAAGCCGAGGCGAACCGCCCCCCTCCCCCATGACCGCGACTCTCATGAAAAAAACCACTGCACCACTACCTATTGTGCTATTTACTTTCCTGCAAGAAAAAGTGCATAATAATAAAAGACCTACTGCAATAAAGTGTTGAACTTGTATCATATGAATCTTTAGTCTGTTTAAGATCTGTTCATGCTATTTTCCAAATTCAAGAAACACAGTTACCAAAGATGTAAAAAATATCTTGACACATGTATGTTATCCATAGTGAGGACAGTGGCTTTTTTCAAGTTCCACATTAATATAACATACAAAACATGAACATTTTACTGAGCTATAATTTCCAAAGACTGACGCAATAATATAAACACAATGCACAGCAGGGGAACAAATAATTTTACAGACTACGTGTAACCTTCCTTCAGTCTACAGTGACTAAGATCCACAATTTTAATTGTGCGTAACTCTTTAGGTGACTAATTATACTTTCCAAGCATAGGATTAGGCTTTGGCTTATTTATGGCATGTTTTTATCAGGCTTTCGTATCTTTTTTTTTCACGGTAACCACCTTTTA